GAGCTGTTTTAGGAAAGTGGATGAGTAAAATAAAGGCAAACATAATCCACAAATAAATTTAATTGAATGAATGAAGCTAGATATAGGTATAGGAGTGCCAAATAAAAAGAGAAGGCCAGATGAGTCTCACTCTGGTCTTTTGATCTGAAGGGCCTGTGACCAAGAATTTATTCAAACTGGGAGACAAGTTTTCTTAACTTTATGCCATTAAACATTTGAGTCACCAGACTTCCCATGTTCTATTTCTATACCAGTCCTGAGAAATATCTCAAGATCACTAAAATGCCATTTATTGTTTTACTCTGAGAAATTACCATCACAGAGGCCAACTGACTGCCAACTTTTGCTCAATGACTTAGCATCTCCTATGCTTTCTCAGAGCTAACTAACCTCTGGTCTGTTCTGACTAACACAGTTTTCACATTCCAACACATTACAATCAAGTCTTACAGGCTTGAGAGCCAGTCTGGCTCATAAGGTAACTCTGCATATCTGTGTTCTGATTCATTCTATATTCATACATTCTGTATTGATCTTATAATGTTAACTGTCAAAGAACATCATGATGAATCCCAAAAGCAGACATGAAGTTCCCTATCATCTTAGACCTTTGATTCCAAAATTGTACAAAGAATACTGAAACCCTAGAAACTCTGAGCATTCAGATCTACTAATAATTTTCTCTGGACAAAGCTAAAGAACTTCTCTTCCCCAAGATAAAGTGTCTCTGAAATGCCAAAACTACAAAAGAATGTGGCTCTTATTCTAAGATACACCAATCTGTATTAGGTATATGTTCATGTAGAAGAAAAGCAAACTCTTTTAAAATTTTGATTTACGCAGATAGAGTATTTAGTGTCTTCACCTTTTTAGGATCCTTCACCCTGATGATATAATTATCACTTTCATAGACCTGAAATACTAAATTCAACTGAAGCCCATACACAGTGGTTGGATTAATTGAGTCATGCCTGATTCTTAGATGCAAGTAAACAGATCACTATGGAGTAATCAAATATCCTTTCCCTATTATTTAACCCATTTTCAGCAGGCAAGGTCAGTTTTTCCTAGGTTAAATCTGTTTGGTAGTAATTATTTGGATGGTATCACTCTTTCACGTGTAACCTTTACCTGGGAACCATCAAGGCCTTTGAACTACATTAGGTTCAAAGCAATTCTTCGTGGAGCCACTTCTGCAGGTACACAGAATGCTCTCCTTTATTCACCATATATTATTTTTTATTTATTTATTTTTATTTTAATTTATCAATATATAATATAGTTGATTTTGTGTCCCTTTACCAGTTCCTTCTTTTTCTCCCTCCCTCTCTCCCTCCCTCCCCCATTAATATCATATCTGTTCACTTGTCTTAGCAAGTTCAAGGAATTGTTGTGATTGTTGTGTCTTCTTCCCCCCCACCCCCATTTGTTTGTATATTTACTTATTTACTTTTAGCTCCCACAAATAAGTGAGAACATGCAGTATTTCTCTTTCTGTACCTGGCTTATTTCACTTGATATAATTTTCTCCAAGTCCATCCATGTTGCTGTGAATGGTGGTATTTCTTTTTTTTTTTTATAGCAGAGTAGTATTCCATTGTGTAGATATACCACATTTTCCTTATCCACTCATCCAGTGATGGGCATTTGGGCTGGTTCCAACTCTTGGCTATTGTAAATAGTGCTGCAATAAACATGAGAGTACAGGTATCCCTTCAACATGATGATTTCCATTCCTCTGGGTATATTTACCAGCATGGAATAGCTGGGTCATATGGTAGATCTATCTGTAATTGTTTGAGGAACCTCCATACCATTTTCCATTTTTATTTTAGGTTTCAAATTATAACATTTTTCTGAATACAAGTGTACGATATTGAATTAACAGAAGTCTAATCACCTTGACTTGATAATAAAATGCATGTGTAAAAATATAAGACTATTTTAAATTATTAATTTGTTTAACAGAATTCAACAAATTTTTGTCCTCAAAATTTTTATTTTTCTTCCTGAAGCAGTTTGTCTCACAATTTTGATCTATCTTTCTTCACTTTATCTTTAAATGTTGAATAATTTCTTCCAAGTCATGGTATAAATAAATAATTTAACTAAAGCACTTATTAGTTTTACATGTTCTTATGAAATAGGCTCTTGGTTTCCCAAACTTTGCTGGACATAGCACCCTTGTCTCAGTAATTTTTTTATGGCATCCTTAGGCTCAAAGAAATACTTAAGACAGTTCCATTGATTAAGTAGTTAGATCCAAACAATTTAAAAAATATTTATATCCTAAAATCTTAGTACCCACTGGAAAAATTAATACACATAAAAAGAAATAAAAATACATTCTTTTTATCTTATTATTAATAACTGTAATTACAGGAGTCTCCCATTATCCCCAGGGGGATATGTTCCAAGACCCCCAGAGGATACCTGAAATAGCATGTAGTACCAAACCCTATATATACTGCATTTTTACTGTACATACACACTTATGATAGGCACAGTAAGAGATTAACAGTAACTAATAATAAAATGCAACAATTACAACAATAGGCCAGCATCACTACTCTTGAACTTTGAGTTCTCTTTTTAAAAAAAATAAGGGTAACTTGAACACAAGCGCTGCAATACTGCGACAGTCAAGCTGATAACCCAGAGGACCACGAAGTGACTAACAGGAAGATATTGCTGCCAGCCTGGATGTACTGGAAAAAGGGAGGATTCCCATCGATGGCACGACAGAGTGGGATGGCTAGAAAGTTAATCACGTTACTCACAATAGTGCACAATTTAAAAATTAGGAATTATTTACAGAATTTTTCACTTAATATTTTCAGACCGTGGTTGACTGCAGGTAAGTGAAACCATGGACAGCAAAACCATGTACATAGCAGTGGGATATGCACCCCTGGTGGGTGCTGGCCCATCTTCTCAAATGATGGCATCAGATTGGGCACTGATACTCTCATTACCTGTTCAACACCACTAATCTCACTGGTTTTCTTGCAGTACATTTTTTATCACAGCGATCAACAGAAACCAGCCTTACAAAGATAAGACATGATTGAAAGGAAAGTAGGAGTAATTGGCTCTAATCTCTAAATGGAACTACTTCAAATTGGTAATGTGCACCGTGTCCAACAGATGTTGCTCTTTTACCCTCCATAATTTAAAATATCTCACTGTATTTCCAGCAGCACCCCAGAAAATAAGTTTATCTTCTGCATTAAATCTAGGTATGTTTGCATGATCATATGTCAAATGAGCGACAACTCTCAAAAAGAAATCAAAGCGAAGTAACTTACCGATAACCACTGCGCTTTTTTTCCTGGTCTTATTTTTTACTTCTTTCAGTTATTCCCCAACTTTCATGCATTAAAATGAAAGAATATCTGGTTTGAGGAAACTCCCAATCTTGAATCAAGATATAAATAGTAACCATTCCACAATGTATACATACTTCAAAACATATTGTACGGCATAAATACATGCAATTTTATCTGTCATTGAAAAAAACACACAGACAAAAAGACAGATACAGGGAACTGTGGGAGGTGATGGATATATTTATTACCTTGACTGTGTTGATGGTAACACAAATGCATGCATATGTCCAAACTCACGAGATTGTATCTATTGATTACATTCAGTTTTTAATATATGAATTACGCCTTAATAAAGCTGGGGGAGATATATATATATATAGTTCCAGGAACTTGTGTGATCCTTTTTTCTCTAAATTTAGGTTGCTTTACTTGAAATTTAAGCAGTAAGATTATTATTGAATAAATATAATTGTTCAGTTACTAGCAAACAGTTTATTTTTTGAAACCAGGGCACAGCTTCAGTATTAATAAGTGGCACTTTTTCTTTAAAAAAAAAATAGCTGAAGTAATAAGGGATATGTGGCTTGGAAAATTTAACCCTTACTCACATAACTTTACGAATGATTACATTAATTTTATTCTTTAGTTATTTCACAGACCAAGACTTGGAAGAAAACTATCTTCTTTTGACTGCTCTTATTTCTAGAATAAAAATATAAGGAAAAGAGTAGCAGAATAATTATAAAGATACTCCAAAACTTTTGTTGAAAAATAGAGTTGAAAGATAATACAAATCTTTCTATGAATTTTTTAAGTACCCTTGTATATCAAAATGAATATTATGGATCTTTCTTTTTTCATTTAATTATTAAAACCAGTCCAGTATTACAGGCATGTGAGGAGACAGGGCTTTATTTGTAGCAGGGCAAGGTAGCTGTCATTTTAGTGCTATCTCCTCTGCATTGATGCCACAGTGCCTGCAATTCTATTATAGGTTTAAGGCCAGGGACATCATATCTCTTTTAGTACAAATATTTCATAGAAATGTAATAAGGCAGCAAGCAGTTATTTATTAAGCAGTATGATTTAGTTTACTAAATCACTTTCATTATTTTTATGGCTTTACTGATATAAGGAATTTATTAAGGAAATTATAATTTATATGAGATAGGATAAAATTTTAATTAAGGAATGTGAACTTATAGGAAGTGATTGCTTGGTGCTTCACTCTGAAAGAGAGCAGGGAGGTACCGAGCAGCCACGAAGAAATACAGCAAATGGACTTTTATAACATCTGTGCTCCTAGGAAGTTTTCATATAAAAACAATGTCTTTTTCATTGTTGTATAGATCTTTAAACCTTTAAATATTTAAATTAAGAACTTCAAACCAAAAGTGTTAATTTATTATGTAGTTAAAAATACAGCTGGTATAAATTTACAGCTTCAAAACAGGCTTACCAAAGTAAAAAACAGACCTGTGTATCTATAAAATTAAACATGTATTGAGAACTATAATTAGATACCATTATTCTGAAGCAGCCAAATGAATGAAATATATTTTCTAGGCAGTGTGCTCTGACCAATGAGAAATTAATTTCAGAAAGAAGCGAAATGGTAAATTTTATGAAGAGTATATCTATTAATGTAATATATGTTCTTTAATATTGCAGCCTACTGATGCAACAAAAGTTGTCTCTCATCCAATTACGGGGGAAATACAGGTATGAAGCTTTAAAAAGTCATCACTATTTCATTTTTTCTTACTGTTTTTGCTACTCGTCTATTGAAATCGTGAACACTATTAGGATCTCATTCTATAACACATACATAACTGTAAAGGAAAAATAACAATTTTATAGAACAGTATGTTAATACAAATATATGTTTTATGAAACCTAATCATAGCTATGGAATTCTACAGTTTGAAATCTGACTTACACCTTAGCAGTGTCAATAACCATTATACCTTACTTTATACTTGTTGAATGTGTTTCAAACATGGCAGATTCTCCTTGAAATTTGAAGTTCCCTCTTTAAGAGTTTTATTAGTCTGGTGCTGTCCTTTTTTCTTCTTTTGATCAAGAATTGCTAAATAATTGCTGAACAACTCTTATAGAGAACTGTTTTTCATGCTGTGGATCATAACCACTTTATTATTTAAAAAATCAATTTAAGGAATTTTGGACAGGAAATTAGAATAAAAATAGTACGGATCAGTCTCTTTTTCGGTTCTCTGTGCATGTGTTTCTTTGTGTATTGTATTGTAACAAAATGTATTTCTTAATTTGGGTCATAGTAAAAAATATTAGAAAAACTGTGCTTTTGGTGATACCAAAAAAGTAATTTAGGACAGATAAGAAATGTCACATAAGAAGAATTAACACAATATAAAATAATAATTATTTGAAGACAGTAAGTTTCAGATAAGGGAAAGAGAGAGTCTTAGCTCCATTTCCAAGACATCCTAGAGGACATTTTCACAGAAGACTTCACAAAAGATACAGAGATTTGAACTAATTTGAGGATAAGCATAGAAAAAGGAATGTATTCCTGGAGGAAGAAATGGTGCAAGGAAAGGGATTGCTGTCAGGAGTAATGGAATGACAAGATCAGCTTTAAGAGGTAGGCTGAGACTAAATTAAGAACATTGAACACAAGCATAAGGATGTTAATCACTATGTAATATAGTGTGATTGCTAAATATTTTGGAGTAAAAAATGGCCTAATTGAAAAGAATATGTAGTAAAATATCATATTGCAGCAGCCTACAAGAAAAATAAGGAGGGGAAATGAAGAAAAAGAAATCAGTTGAGTGATTATCTAGGCACACACTAATGAAAGCAAAAGTGGTGTGTGAGTGTGGAAATGGAGAATAAGTGCAAAATGTGGGCACTTTACCACAAGGAAATGTGTAGGATTGAGCCTGATTACTTATGTACTCCAGATCTTGCTATCTCTCTGCTGTGTCCCACTTCTGGGAAGCCTGTTTTTCAACAGACCTTATCTTTCTTCATTTCACAAGCAGCAAAGGAAATGCTAGAATTTTTAATTCTTAATAGCTTTCTCCCCTCGCCCCCACTTTTTAAGTTCTTGTCCTTTGAGTAGCATTGCTATCTTTCTTTTTAGTTAGTCGTTGTTGTTTTTGTTTGTTCTTATTTTATTTTTGTTTCCCTTGAGCAGTAATATTGAATTCTGCAGTTGACATTTGCCCTAGCAATATTTCTTAAGTCTCAGGATATTTTCTTAAGGCAGTGATTTCAATTATTTATTAGTGTTTTGTTTTTGTTTTTGTTTTTTTTTTCTTTTAGCAAAACTTTTTCTAAATGAAACCTATGTAGACACCTAAACTATGAATCTGCCAACGCTGAAGCTGCTGTGGTTGAGGATTGCTGGGGGCACCCTATTCTTTCCAGGAATTGATCCCTGAGCAATTCTAGGTGTTCTCTAAGGCTTACAGAGCAAATTTTGAAAAGCACCTTCTTTCTTAGCCTGCAAGTTTTCATTTTGATAAAAAATAGTTTTGGTGCTTTGTCAAGTTAAAAGTGAACTCTAAGCTGGGCAGATAAAAAAGAGAATGGGGAAATATTTTTCCTTAACTAAAAATTTGGAAGCTGTTCTACATTTCCATGAGGTTAATTGCAGATTATTTCATATTCTATATTCAGTACCCCATTATAGCCCATAGTACTGCATTATTGCACATAATTCTAAACTACCCACTTCTCTTCTTCCTTTATGGTACTTTGTTTTATTTTTCACATGGCTTTTGTGATTGTCAGAGAGACTCTGGGCTTTTCTGGATTGACAGGCAATTGACAATTCACTTTTTTCCAGGAAGCAATATAACCAGATCAAAATTATGATAAAGTGAAGATTTATTTTAAACAGCATTTTAAATGAAAGTTTTACTCATCTAAGTTATCCTATTATCAATATAAAAACAGCATATCTGTTTTGTATGGATTACAAAAGAAAAGGGTTAGCATTTGAAATATAGATTCCTCCCTTTCTATTAGTTGATAAAAACAATATCAAACATAATGAGGGCTTATTCTAAATAATGCCAAAAGAATCTTTCAATTGTGAAAGAGAAAAATTATTCAACTCTATTATTTTGAATTATGAAAATTTTTGAAAAAAAATTTTCAAGTATTTGTTTAAATTGTAAATCTTTTACTATTCAGTGACAACTGGGTAACAGGCAATAAACATCTGTGAGGCAATGCCTGTTCTTACTTCTTCAGCTTCTAAAAATTAAACAACAAGATTTTATTATCATAATGTCTCACTTTATTAGAAAAGCAGGCATGGCATAGAAAGAAAAGCTACAGGTTTAACATCAGATACTCTAATATAGGAAGAGGTAAAATCAATGTATTCTCATATTCCTACATTTCAATATTGACAGCTTTATCTTTAAATAATGATTCCATCCACTGCTAATTATTTGGCAAAAGGCAAAATGACATTTTATAATAAATTTAACAATTAGTTAATTTATTTTAAAAATCCTGGTAATTGTGGTGATCAACATTAGCAATATTCAATATAGTCCTAATAGTAGCAATTTAGTTCAAAAATGTACCTCGCAATCACTGTATAATTTTCCTTCTGAATAAATTTTAGACAGGCCAGGACTTTTCACCATGGAAAGAAAGAACAGCATGTTTACTAGAAATGAAAATGTGCCTGGGAGCACCCAATTAAGTTACACATTATCTGGGTCTGTTCAGTTTCAAATAAAATGGAAATGAGGGTTGATGCTTCTTATAAGATTTAAAAAAGAAAAAAAAAAAACACTGGTAAAATATTGGATGATAATGTATTACATGTTCTAAAAAAAATTCACAGAATATTTTGCTGTCCCCTAAAGCTTCAAATCAACTATGATCTTGGAAATCTCATAATACATATTCTTCAAGCAAGAAACCTTGTCCCTCGAGATAACAACGGTTATTCTGACCCTTTTGTTAAAGTGTACCTCCTTCCAGGGCGAGGGTAAGTAAAGAAGCAATGTCTTCTAAGTATTTCATCCCGTGGTCTATAAGATAGTAATAGTATCTTCCACTCTCTAATTTCAAAGCCCCACCTTAACTGAGTTTATTATCTTTTCCTTAGTTTTCTCCACATGTCATATTCATTTATTTCCATTAGGTAGATAAGGTGGAATTTAAAAATTGTAATTAAGCCCTAAAGGTTTCTGGAAGAGCAGTGATCAGAATAAAACCAACCTTGGTGAGAGTGAAACAGCATTTTGATTCTGGAAACCACTCCTGTGATAACTAATCAGATTGACTATGAAATTATTCAAGGGATTATTTGTGGCAGATTTCAAGAATTAGCTTACACTCTCAAATTTATTTGAGAAACCAATATTCAAGGACATAAATTACTGTTTATTTTTATAGGATGTGTGTGTTATCCAATATGTTAGATGTTCATTAAATGGTATCTTGAAGTATCCTTATTTATACACATAGTTCCAAATCAATGCTTTAAAAATGAAATTTTTAAAAAAATAATATTTGAAGTGTTAACACTGGAAAATAAACGAAAAACATCTCTGAATCTTTTGTGTGATACATTGTTGATATAAAGAAAGTAAGTACTGTTAATATTTCACATAATATATGCAAATTGCTGTGTTCTGGTACATAAAGCAGTATTCAAGGATGGTTTCAAAACAGTGATTTTGACTCTACAAGTTATTATATTTTATCTGAACAATTTATATTAACCAAATTAGCATGATGGAACCATAGGGAATCAACAAATGGAGGTATACTTAAAAAAATTCTGGATTAGTATTTGAAGAATCTGATTTTATTTTTTGTTCCATTTTTTTTAATTTGGGGAGTGACATTTGAATCTTACTTTTTATTTGTAAATTTTCAATCGTGACATAGAATAAGAAGGACAGTACACTGACCCACCATGTACCCACCACTCACCTTCAACAGATATCACTGATCACATTTCATTTTTACCCTCATACACTCCCTCCATCCAGATTATTTTAAAGTAAATCTCAGCCATGGTGATTTTCTTCCTGCAAGTATTTAGTATATATTTCTGAAAGATAATACTGATTTTAAAATAATTATACTACCATATATGACCATAATTATTTTTAAAATTTTCAAGTAACACTTTAACTTCTCCAGTTGCTTCATCGTATTTTCCTAGGTGGTTTGATGCCCTAATTGAAATTTATAGAACATGCTACCCATCAATAGCAAATTACATTTTCTTTTCAAGTACACATGCAGGATTCACCAAAATTGACTATTTTATTTTCTGGGCCATAAAACAAACCTCGACAAATTTAAAAGCATTGAAATCATGCAAATATGTTCTCTGACTATAGTTGTTTTGTTTGAACAGGACTCAAATTAAAGTTATACTCTGCATTTGACTCTGCTGCTTACTAATTATATCACCATGGGCAGATCACGAGGTTTTTTTGAGATTCAGTTTCTTTGTCAATATTGAGAGAGCCACGGTAAACAGAACCATAATTTTTAGTTTGTCAGGAAAACCAAATTAGATAATACTCAGATAATAATTTGAAAATTCCCAGGTGCTGTACCAAATTCAGTATACGGCCTTTAATTTCATCCTTCTCAATAATTTTATTTATAAATTTAGAAATGTTTGGGCCGAGCCCATGGCACACTCGGGAGAGTGCAGCGCTGGGAGCGCAGCAGCACTCCTGCCGCGGGTTTGGATCCTATATAGGGATGGCCGGTGCACTCACAGCGCTTACTGGCTGAGCGCGGTGTGGCCAGTCTCAAAAAGGACAAAAAAAAAAAAAAAAAAAAAAAA